ATTTAAAACTATACAATAAAGCATCTAGTGAGGTTGGGAGGGTGCTTTAGATTTGAAGCAACACACAGAATATTTTTTATTCTCTTTCCAAACAGTTTATTCCATAGTACCAAACTTCGAAACTTGGTTTGGAGTTTCCCTGACAGTTCAGTAGACTCTGCCTTCCAGTGCAGGAAGTGTGGGTTTGATCCCTGGACTGGGGAGTTAAGATCCCACATGCCTCATGACCAAAAACCCAAAGCATAAAAGAGAGGCACAGAAGCAATATTGTAACAAATTCAATAAAGACTTTAAAAATAAAAATAAAATAAATAATAAAAAATAAAATAAATCAAAACCTGTTTCTGATTTTCTTGGCCTTTGGCTTCAAAAAATAAAATAAAAATAAAATAAAATAAAAAACTTGTTTCTGATTTTATTGGCCTTTGGCTTCTTCAGTGTTTTCTAATATTTCCTCTGTTCAGACATTATCTCTTAGTTCTTCCTCAAATTTTGTTTCAACATAAAGGACATGATTTATAGTCTCAGTTTTGAACATAAGTGGGCTTTCAGTTTGTACTCACATTCCTCAGAGTATAAGGAATTAATAGCTGTGACATAACTATTTTTTAAGGACTTGGCCAGCTTTTCTTTGGGGAGCTGACTCATCCTGACAAAAAGTGAGAAGGCGTTTGGGGGTTATAATCTCCAAGGTCATCTATTTAAACAACTCTTGGAAATCAAACAGAAGGCTTATGTGTACATTTCCATTCCAACCACAGAGGAGATATAACTTTTGGTAGAAAACAAAAGCACTATTCAACATACTTGCCAGTGATGATTCAGTTTTAAAAATCAAAATGATTTTTAGATCATCTAAAAATTTAGATGATTTTAGTTTCAAAAATCAGGAGAGAAATTCCTATTTCTGTAAGGACAGCAGAAAAGTCCCAGAATCAGGATTCATGTAAGCTGATTTTAAGATAAAATTCAATAACTTTAGTAGTGTGGTTAAGATTCTGACTGCATTGAAAACATTGCTACCATTTACTCAGAGATAAAGGATTTTATCTAAAGAGATAATCACCTGGTAAGTAAAATTTCAATCAAGCTATAGTAAATAATAATTACTTTCAAATACAGAAGAAATTTTGCATATACAATTTAAATTAAATTTTATCTATAAACATGCTGATTACATGTGTTAATTCCCTTTGTCATATGCCTCAACAATTGTCAAAATTAAGCAGATTTTTGGTATGATTTTGAGAAATTCACGGAGAAATGATAGCATTTGTGTCACATAGGGGTTATATTAAAGAAAAGAAGAAAAAACCTTATACTTAAGATGGAAGAGAAAAAATATTAAAGAGAAAAAAGGGTACAGATAAAATAAGTTAAGGAAATGTACTGATATAGAGATTCATCACTCTTCTGCCTCCTTTGCTACTCTGCATAATACGTATTTAGTGAGTAATTAAAAAAGCAAAATGTTACAATATAGAAAACCTTAATACCAGAAGATCCTGAATGTCAAGGTAGAGCAAACTCAATCAGGAAAATTGAGAATAGGATGAACAGTTACACAGAGAGCAAATAGAATTAGTTTAGCCAAGAATTGGTACTGGTCTTGAGAGAAACCTTTGAAACTGTCGGGAAACATTAAGCTTATTCATGAATTTTTGGGTAAGACAACTTGGTTATAAAAATAATAACAAAAACAAACAGATAAAAATAACATGTCCCTAGAATCATAAGACTAGTTTGTACCCGAAACCAAATTAGCAATATCCAGATGGTGAAAGAAAATTAAAATAAACCTAAAAACAGTCTTCAGTATTTATCAGTATTTACCCAAATTGTTAAGTATTTGGCTTCCTTTTTTACAAAAAAAGAGATAATAAAATGATCACTGGACACTTCTTTGGATTAATTGTTCAATTCATATAAAATGTTTAAAACTCCTTTCAGGAAATATTAGGTATTATTATCACTACTTATCTTTTATGTCTGTGAAAGACCTGTAAGAAAAATCAATTTGATATGAACTGCAATGGCTTTAATTTTAGCTATTAATATTTCAGCACACTTCTGATTATTTTTTATTATGCTGTATGAGATACTCAGTCTATACACAATGAAATGAAGAAAAACAAAGTGAAAGAGAAAATAATCAGGCAGAAAGTGAAGAAGAATTAAAGAGCCTCTTGATGAAAGTGAAAGAGAAGAGTGAAAAAGTTGGCTTAAAGCTCAACATTCAGAAAATTAAGATCTTGGCATTCACTTCCATCACTTCATGGCAAATAGATGGGGAAACAGTGGAAACAGTGTCAGACTTTATTTTTCTGGGCAAAATCACTGCAGATGGTGACTACAGCCTTGAAATTAAAAGACGCTTACTCCTTGGAAGGAAAGTTATGACCAATCTAGATAGCATATTAAAAAGAAGAGACATTATGTTGTCAACAAAGGTCCATCTGGTCAAGGCTATGGTTTTTCCAGTGGACATGTATGGATGTGAGAGGTGGACTATAAAGAAAGCTGAGGGCAGGAGAATTGATGCTTTTGAACTGTGGTGTTGGAGAAGACTCTTGAGAGTCCCTTGGACTGCAAGGAGATCCAACCAGTCCATCCTAAAGGAGATCAGTCCTGGGTGTTCATTGGTGGACTGATGTTGAAGCTGAAACTCCCAACTCCCAATACTTTGGCCAACTGATGCGAAAAGTTGACTCATTTGAAAAGACCCTGATGCTGGGAAAGATTGAGGGCAGGAGGAGAAGGGGACGACAGAGGATGAGATGGTTGGATGGCATCACCAACTCAGTGGACATGTGTTTGGGTGCGCTCCGGGAGTTGGTGATGGACAGGGAGGCCTGGTGTGCTGCCGTTCATGGGGTTGCAAAGAGTTGGACATGACTGAGAGACTGAAGTGAACTGATTGCACAGTATGTACCTGCTAATTCTACCTGCACTACCATGAAATATTTATATTTATACTAGAAACGCTCATATTAAAAAGGAGAAATTTGTCATAAATAATGAATTTTTCTTAGCAGCAATGTTAGTCCTTGTAGTTTATCATACAAAATATTCTCTTTAAATCACATAAATATGAAAATGAGGATCTTGTATATATAAAATCAGTAACTCTAATATTAAAAAGGAAATTGGAAATAATGTGGAAGTGTTAGAAATGTAAGTTATACTTTAAATAGCATGATTATGAAGTCTCTGATATTAAGTTGAAGGCTGTGAAGGAGAGGCATTTAAGGGAAAAAAAGGAAACTAATTAAGCGTTCTAATTTTTTTCCCATTTTGTTAGGGTAACATCTAGTTAACATGAGAGAGACAGATTTTCCAACTCTCCTGCCTACGAATTAATGGAATGTTTCTATTCATTTTTTTTTTCAGTTAGAATATTCTTTCCTCCAGGATCATATTAGCAAATTATCAAAATGATCTGAAATTATTGGACTAAAATATGCTTATAAACTATAGAAGCATATTGGTTAATTAATTGGAAATGAAAGTATCTACAACTTAAACTAAAGCTATTTAAGAAAGTAAGTTTTGTTTATTTTTCTGATTATAGAAATGCTAATAATATGCATGATATTCTGAAAAATATTTTCTTGGAATATTTATTTATGAAATTGACATTATTTCTTAAAGAAATCATTGTAACATAAAAGATAAGAAAGCAGGGACACTATAATTAATCAAATTATAAAAAGTTCTATTATAAAAATTATTGAAGCCTGATCCCTATAAAGCAAGTGCCATTCACTTATATATTATTGTTATTAATCATTTTGGCAACATTTGTTTCTCAATTTTATGTATAATTACTATTATTTTTCCTATTAAATTAAAAGAAATGTCATAGCTACTTTTGCTTCACCTGAAACAGTATTTTCTTTACTGTTTTTGTCCACAATGCTTGCAAATACATCAGACTGTTTTCCAGAATCAGAGCTGCTTCTTGTTCAGTCGCTAAGCGTGTCTGAATCTTTGTGACCTCATGGACTGTACCATGCCAGGCTTCCCTGGAGTTTACTCAAATACATGTCCATTGAGTCAGTGATGCCGTCCAACCATATCATTCTCTGTTACCCCCACATCCCCCTACCCTGAATCTTTCCCAGCATCAGGGTCTTTTCCAATGAGTCGGCTCTTCTCATCAGGTGGAAATAATTTTGGAATTTCAGCTTCAGCATCAGTCCTTCCAATGAATATTCACGGTTGATTTCCTTTAGGATTGGCTTGTTTGTTCTCCTTGCTGTCCAGACTCTCAAGAGTCTTCTGTAACATCACAGTTTGAAAGCCTCCATTCTTTGGCGCTCAGCCTTCTCTGTGGTCCAACTCTCACATCTGTACATGACTACTGGAAAAGTCATAGCTTTGACTATATGGACCTATATTGATAAAGTGAAATCTCTTATGCTGTCTAGGTTTGTCATAGTTTTTCATCACTCAGGCAAATGAGTCACTTGTCTTGTGTGCAAGCACCTCACTAATAAAGATAATAATGATTTAGTGCAATATTTTAAAAAATCACATTCCACAAGAAAATTATCAACATTTTAAAGAAAAACAGGATTCTCTCTGGCAATTTCACAACTTACTATATTCCCTTCACTTTAAATATGCTTGTTTTAATCTCCTAAGCAAACAAGCCACTTCAGGAAAAGAAATGTATCTTTCCTAAACTCACTTTTCATCCCATACATAAGATGACTGTGCATGTTTGTTTATACTTGAGCAAGTGTATTTATTAACAGTATTCTCTTTCAATCTAGAAAATAATCAGATCTGGTATGTTATATGGCAAGATTTTCATACAAGGTTTAGAATTAACTGTTTAAAAGTGTAATATAGGAAGCTGATTTACTAAATGGATGTGTTTCTCCAACACTCACTCTGATTGACTCCATGCTTAGTCAATATTTCTCATGCTAACCTGTCTTTTCTTTTCTTTTTTTTTTTCAGGCAAACTCACTGAGTTTTCACTGCATTAGACCATGAAATATACCAATAACATCACTGAATTCATTCTCTTGGGACTTTCCCAGAATATGAAAATCAAACATGTGTGCTTCCTACTATTCTTATTTTGTTACATAGCTATTTGGATGGGAAACTTGCTCATCATGGTTTCTATCACATGCAGTCAGCTAAATGATCAACCCATGTATTTCTTCCTTAATTACCTTGCTCTATCAGATCTGTGTTATACGTCAACAGTGACACCCAAGTTACTCACTGACTTGCTGGCAGAAAGTAGCACAATTTCATACACTGCCTGCATGGTGCAGCTTTTTGCCATGCACTTCTTTGGGGGGATTGAAATCTGTGTTCTCACCGTGATGGCCTATGACCGCTATGCGGCCATCTGCAGGCCCCTGCATTACACCGTCATCATGAGCAGGCCCAGACGCTATGCCATGGTCAGTGCTTGTTATGCTGGGGCATTTCTGCACTCCTTTGTCCAAGGTCTCCTCACCATTAACTTGCCGTTCTGTGGCCCCAATGAAATAGATCACTATTTCTGCGACGTGTATCCTTTGCTGACACTGGCCTGCACAGACACCTACAGAGTTGGGATCCTAGTGGTGGCCAATGCAGGCATGATGGGGTTGGTGATCTTTGTGGTCGTGATGCTGTCCTACATTTTGATATTATACACCATCAAGGCTTATCCTACAGAAAGCCGGTACAAAGCTCTTTCCACCTGTAGTTCCCACTTCACAGTTGTGGTTCTGTTCTTCGTGCCTGTTCTCTTCATTTACATTAGACCGGCCACAACGTTTCCAGAAGACAAGGTGTTTGCTCTCTTCTACACCATCATCGCTCCCATGTTCAACCCTCTGATTTACACTCTCAGAAATGCAGAGATGAAGAATGCCTTGAGGAAGGTTTGGTGCCAGAAACTATTTTTGATTGCAAGGCAAAGCATCTGAAATCACTTTGCTTCCTCATTACACATCTTATTCAAGTAATATTTGCTTACTTTAGTTTAATAAACAATGGACTTTGCTCTAGAAAAACTAAGCATAAACGCTAGAATCCATTGAAATCCTTTTTTCTATCAATCCATGTTTCTGATGAACGTCTTCCCCTAGTAACAGGAGTCATCATTTCCTTGTTGAAGTTACACTTTGCTTAGATTTTTCTTTTCTCTTTCCATAAGTCGCTAAGTGGATGTTACCATTTTAATTTCCCCATACTTTGGTTCCATGAAACAAATCTCCAAGTGTACATAAGCTACAATCATGTTGATCATCCCAGACAGAAAGTCCACAGAACCTTGCTATACTCCCTGCATTCTCATAAAAAAGGAGTATCAGAAATTTAAATTCTTATTTTCTATTCAGCTGAGGATGTCCCATATTCATTGCAACTATTTGAAAAGCAAAATTTAGTTATGTAGGAACTGAACAACAAAAATATGATTTATGTGAGAATCACTATATAAAAATTGGAACATGGTTCTAAAGTGATTTTAATGAAATCATCTTAAAATGACAAAAATTAATAATTATATAACCTTTTACCATAACAATATCTTCATATATATTGAAATATTACTTTGGAAATAAAAAGGGTAGCTATATGATTTACTGCTCAAATTGAGATAATTTGAGTGTAAGAAAGAGGAGTTCTGCTACTAATTATGCTGACATAATGGACATAAAATGGGATTGTATCAAGAAGTAGGATGTCTACCTACTTTTCAATGTCTGAGATGTATGGATATTCTAGTGAAAAGGGTAGTGGCAAGAACATTGCAGAGTATGCATGTTATCTTAGCTGAAATCAATGTGGTTTTAAAAACAGAAGTAAATCATAGTACTGAAACTATTCGATCCAGTGTATCCTTTGGTTTTCCGTTACCATGGCGTTGCCGTGCTCTCCTCCAGGGGATCTTCCCCACCCAGGGATCCAGCCCAGGCCTCCTGCATCTCCTACATTGCAGGCACATTCTTCACTAGTGCCATCTGTGGAGCCCCAACCAAAAGGTACACATTTTCACTTTCCTTAGAATTTCTACAGACTTTGATATCCCTAGATATAGAATCAAGAAGTATCTCTTTTCAAATAACTGAATTTTATTTTTTTTCTTAATTCTTTAGCAAAATAAGATTCACTGGACATCATGAAAATAACTCGAAGGGGAGGAATAATGTCTTATGTTGCACATGTGTAGGTGCTTCCTAGGTGGAGCTGGCGGTAAGGAACCCGCCTGCCAACGCAGCAAAGGGAAGAAACGTGGGCTCGATCCCTGGGTGGGGAGGAGCTCCTAGGGGTGGGCACGGCATCCCACTCCAGCATTCCTGCCTGGAGAATCCCGTGGACAGAGGAGCCTGGCGGGCTGTGGTTCCAGGGTCGCCAAGAGTCAGACACGACTGAAGCAAGTTAGCAGCAGCAGCAGCACGTGTGAAGGAAAAAAATTATAGATAGACTGAATATGTAAACGAATCCATATAGGGAAAGACAAAATAATGTCATAGCACAGTGTATAATGAAAAATTTCAGAGGCGTTCAAATGCGGAAGTAAGGTGAATATTCATATAGGTACTAAAAATTTAAAAAAAAGTTATTAGAGCAATTGATAACCTAGCTAATTCTACGACTTATTATGATGTCTACATCATGATGCATGCTGGTTTGCATTAGTTCATTAAAGGTATCTTGAAGCAATGAGAAAATTATTAACAGGTGTTTCATTTTTTAATACCTTATCTTAGGTTAAAAGAGTTTGTTTTCCAATAAAATTATTATTATAAAATGTTGAGTTACTCTAAAATTGTACTAATAGTAGAGATGGCAGTTATGATTCAAGTGATTTATTAAAATATGAATTTAGTAACAAGTGAACAGGAAGCATGCAGATAAATAATATCTTACTAAGTGAGGGGCCCTGAAAAGACCTTGTTCTTTTTTTTTTCTCTGTTGTTTAGAGATATTAGTAACTAGCTTATAAGCTAATTGCGATGCTGAAAGGAAATGTGTAATGTTGTTCTTAGAATAGAACCTGCTCAAAATTGTTTTGCTATTGTTCTTATTTCTAATGTCATATTAGAAATACATATCTTATTTCTAATAATAATATTAGAATACAATTCTAATAATTTCTGTAATTTAATTTCTGTGAAACAAGAATTTTATAATAAATATTTTATTTTTACTTTTTCATTATATTATAAATATAAGTAGAAGATTTCTGTGGCTTATGTTCATGCATGTTTAAGTAACATTATAATAAAATATGATTTCAATCTTCATAAGATATATGTGATAATTTTTTTCTTATAAAGCTCTATAAACTCTAGTTCTGAAATATTGATCTAATTATGTTATTTTACAGAGGTGTAAATTGAAACTCAGCAGATAAAATTCTTTCTAAGCATCAAATGGCAAAGTCCAGTTAAGACAGTTAAGTAGTCAGGTTTGTGTGTGTGTGCTAAGTTGCTTCAGTAGTGTCTTTTTGTGACCTTATGGACTATAGCCTGCCAGGCTCCTCTGTCCATGGGATTATCCAGGCAAGAATAGTGGAGGGGGTTGCTACGACCTCCTCCAGGGGATCTTCCAGACTCAGGGACTGAACTCATGTCTCTTATGTCTCCTGCATTGGCAGGTGAGTTCTTTACCACTAGCACCACCTGGGAAGCCCCCTAAGTAGTCAGGTAAGGGAAACCAAAAACCATAAAATTGATGGCAACACTCAAAGTTTTATTTAAAGCTTTTTAGCAAGAAGGAAGTCATCGTAAAGGCAGAGATCAAAGGTTTCATCCTCAAAAATGACATATGCAGTAGTTCATTTCAGTTTGGTTACTCAGTTGTGTCCAACTCTTTGTGATCCCATGGACTGCAGCATGCATTTATAGTAGGAAAAGCAGAAAATAGAGTGGAATGGGATTATCAGACTAGATAAAACTGAGGAACACCTGATTTAGTTTTAAGCAAAACTGATAGTTGGGTAAATGAATCTTACTTCTTCAAGGATAGTCTTAACTCCATAAATTCCATCAGATAATTAGATAATTGCTCAAAAATTACATTTTTCTCTTTCTACTCTCTCTTTCTCTCTCTCTCTCTCTATATATATATATGTATATACACACACACACACACACACACACACATATCAGACTTCCCTGGTAGCTCAGCTGGTAAAGAATCCACCTGCAATGCAGGAGGCCCCTGGTTGAGTCCTGGGTCAGGAAGATCCCCCGGAGAAGGGATAGGCTACCCACTCCAGTATTCTTGGGCTTCCCTGACGGCTCAGTCGGTAAAGAATCTGCCTGCAATGTGGGAGACCTGGGTTCAGTCCTTGGGTTGGGAAGGTCCCCTGGAGGAGAACATGGCAACACACTCTGATACTTGTGCCTGGAAAATCCCCATGGACAGAGAAGTCTGGTGGGCTACAGTCCATGTGGTCACAGAGTCAGATATGCCTAAGCACAGCAGCAGAATATACATACACACACACACACACACACACACACATATATATTCATATAACTGAATCTGATCTATATCTTGTCAAATATTATTTTAGGATTATTCTACACTTGAATTTAGATAGTAAGTGAAAATCTTTTACTTTGAGATAGATCATCTATTCTGAGGAATTAAGGGATTTATATTTTCTTCTTTTTTGTAGTAAAGTCAGTTGTGGTTTATTTATTCCTTGATCATATATATTTAATGTCAAACCCTTTTAAAATAGCATGAGTTTGTGTATATATATATATATATATATATATATATATAAACACATATATTTTCCCCAATACTTATAATGTCACTTCACAAACAGATCACACAGTGACTTGCTTTTCAGAGGAACATGCCATGTAGACTATAAGACTGGAATTTACATTATGTTCTACTTAGATCTATATACTCTCTTCACTTAAGTGAAATAATAGTGGTTCACAAATGCACAAAAAAATCTCTAGGTATTTGATTAAAAGAAATCTAGAGTTGTAGGACACGAGGCTAGGTCTACAGTTCTGAAAGGAGTTTGCAGTATGTGATTGTTCCCATTTTCCTATAACTGCCTTTTTGTTGCTGTTTAGTCGCT